TTAATACTGTTGTTGTTATCATTACTATTGTTATTGTTATTGTTATTATTAGTGTTGTTGCTATTATTATTATGATTATGATTATGATTATCATCATCATCATTATTAGATGGAGTAATTATAATTATAATTATATAAATAAATATTATAAATATAATTACAATTATAAGTATAGAAATAAATATAATTATAATTATAATTATAATTAGTGTAATTAGTGTAATAATAATTATACCTATTATAATTTTAATTGTGATTACGATTTTTTTTATAATTATAATTAAAATTATATTTAAATTATATTTAAATTATATTTATAATTACAATTATAATACTTGTAATTATAATTATAATTATAGAAATATTCAAAATCAGATCAGATTAGAAAGATTCAGATCAGATCAGGTCAGAACTTAAAAAATTCAGATCAGAAATATTCAGATCAGGAGAAGAGAATAGCTTCTCATTTCACAAGTTGTATTCCTTCCTTTGGCTCTCTTTTTTGGGTATGGGCCCAATGAGTGATTGTGTTCGACGCAAGCTGCGTTCATTCCTTCGGCTCTCTTTTTTGGACTTGGGTCGAATGTGCCCTCTCTTTGTTGAAGCTTTGTGCAACGAGACTGATTCTCCCTCCCCTGGGCCGGCCCTGGTGTGGAGTTGGGAGTGACTTTTTTTTTTCTGGAGGCCGAGTAAAGGCTTTGAAATGGGGTCGGACGAGGGGAAGAACTTTGTTTCCTGATCTAGGACTAGTCCTTGTATTTTCTTGTATGGGTTGTTTTAGGAAGAATTTTCAAATAAATCATCGTAGTATATCAAAAAAGTCAATTAAGCCCCCAGACCTAAAAAATACTCAATTAAGTCCACGAACTTTATAAAAACATTCAATCTTATAATTTAGCAAGTTAATTCTGGGAGTTTTGGGTTAACCGGTTACTCCAGATGATATGATAATCTAGATGGCGGCGTGGTTGCCATGCCTGAATCGACACACACATCACTATCCCGTGATTTGCGGGATTTGTCGTTGGCTATGAGGGTGTTTGGATCTGATTCTTAAAACTGATTCTGCTCTTTCAGGGAGCAGAAGCAGAAGTTGCAGTGTTTGGGTGAAAGTGCAGAAGTGATTCTGATGCTCTAATTTACTCCTAGAATCAATTTTTTTAGAAGCTGGGGGTGACCAGCTTCTGAAAACTGATTCTGATTCTGCTTCTTCTTTAAAAAAGAAGCAGAAGCAGAATCAGTTCCAAACACCCCTATGTGAAGATCTTGAAAAGATGTCTCAAATGTAGCTTGTTTATCCAGAGTCACTCTGTATATGTATTCCTTTCACAAGTTTCTGCTACTATGTTCAAGGCCGCTATATACGTACTACATATTATTTAGACATGCTTCTAGTACTATGGTCCATGATTGACGTATTATTTATGCTTTTCTTTAAGCTCACCATGCCATCCGATGGTTATTGTGTATTTCCTGGTTTCTTAGTATCTTGTGTCATAGTCACAATGTAGAGTCTTTTATTGGTGTGCATCCATGGTCGCCATGCACGGGTTTCTGTTTTTGTGCATCAGTGGACGTTGTCATGTACGATCTTCTATTCTCATGCGCACATGGTCACTATGTGCAGTCTTTTACTGGCTTGCGTCCATGGTTGCCATGCACGGTTTCTACTGTCTTGCGTCCATGGCCGTCATCCACAATCTTCTACTATCTTGCGTATGGTCGATCCATTTTTTGGGGATTAAGACTTGGTTGTTGTTGTCATTGACAACTATACCAATAATGTCGATATTATTATAATTTTTCACACAGAAAATCACTCCTTATCAAAATAGGTCACATACAAAATATTTGCGTGAAAAGTTTATCAAATAATATGCAGTATTTACACCGTCTATTAATGTTTGTGACACCTAATATACATTCACACACACACACATATATATTGTTTTGTGTGTCATTGAGTATACTTTGTAGATATGTGTATACTTGTGTGGAGTGAAGGAGCTAGAAAAACATGTTAGGGGGTCAAAACTATGTCACATACAACATATGTACGTGAATAATTCATATGTACGTGAAATAAATGTTAGTTTTAATAATAATTAGATGATTATATTGATTTGATTTATACTCCGTATGTAATATATTACTCCATATAAACTTTATGTAGCCAATGAGCCAATAAATTGTTGCTTTTAGAATTTGGGAATATAAGTGATGTTACACATCAAGTTTTAGCTATTTCTAATATCAATGGTGTTTATTTTTCAAGTTTCATAAATTTTTAGTGCTTTACATGCTCAATTTTTGAGGAGTTGACTGAACACGTTGACCCTCAGTTCCGCCGGTGCTTGTGTGCATACAACTCAATGTGTGTGACACACATTTTCTTGCGTGATACCAATTTGTTATCTGGATATGGATTTTTTAAAACACGTTTTTGCCTTTTTACGATGTTGATACTTGACAAATATTGTGTATCCAAGCCTCTCTAAACACACAAATAGGATAAATTTAGAAAAGGAAAAAGAAATTAAAGAGTAATACAAACGGACTAAAGAAGGAATTTGATCCCTATCTTGACAAATAATCCTTCTGCAACGTTTCCATTTTCTTTTACGCTCAATCAAGGGCGGAACCATCCTAGGGTCTGGAGGGCCCCGTGCCCCTGCTGCGCAAACCATATTCCTCTTCCCCTTACTCCCTTAGCCTTGTGCGGAGCAGTGAATGTGTGTTTGGGCCGTCTCAGACCATCTAACCCAGACCATGACAGCCGAATTATCCAAGTGAAGCTGTGAATGACATGCCCTTTAAGACACGTTTGGTTGAAGACAATCCTTCACGTCAACCCCAACCTTCTCTTAGGTTATCCTACATTCCCTCTTAGTTATATTTTTTCTTCTAAAAATACCCATGGTTATTAGATAAGAAGATTCCCTTAGTTATATTTTTTCTTCTAAAAATACCCATGCTTATTAGATAAGAAGATTCCCTTAGTTATATTTTTTCTTCTAAAAATACTCATGCTTATTAGATTAGAAGAAGCATCCTACGATCTCTTCTGCAACCACATCTTCAAAAAAATATAAACGTCACCATTGGGCTTTGCAACAAGTCTTGGATGGGAAAATAAATAAAAATTACTGAAATATGCTTTCTCCATTCTTCCTTTCCATGTTGTATCGTTCTTCTTCTATTTTTTTTCCATAATTATTTATTAATGTTCACTAATCTTTGTCATTTTTTAATTAAGCATACTTTTTTTTAAATTATTCAATAAGTTTTGATTTTATTTATTATTGAGACATTTCATTTTTCTTTAATTTAGATTATTTTAAATGTAGGTTGTGATGAGTTTATTGTGTTAATAGAAAATATTTGAAGGACATTGAATTACAAACAATGTCATTCAACCAAACAAAATAATGTCACATTCCCTTAATCTTTAACCAAACACAAATGAAATACAAATTGACATTCTAATTAATCTAACATAATCAACCAGTAATTGACATCCCTACTGTAATTGGCGGTCTTTAAACCAAACGGACCTTAGCGGTTTAGAAGTTGTATGTTCGTCTTATTCTTATTACTTATTGCTTATTCTTATTTTATTCATATCAGATCATATTAGATCAGAAAGATTCAGATCATATCATATCAGAAAGATTCAGAATAGATAAAAAAGATTTAGATCACACCATATCGGAAAGATTCAGATGAGATCAGAAAGATTCATATCAGACCATATCACAAAAATCCAGATCAGATAAAAAAGATTCAGATCAGACTACATCAGAAAGGTTCAGATCAGACCAGAAAGATCCAGATCAGACAAGATCAGAAACATTCAGACCAGAAACATTCATATTAGATCAGAAGCATTCCGATCAGAAACATTCAGATCAGATCTGAAAAGTTCAGACATGGTTTATCCCTTTTATTATTGTTGCTATTGTTGTTGTTGTCGTTGTTGACTTGTTGAGAGCTCTTGTCCACTTGCCGCTATATCGGAACCTTCTTTAGCCACGTCAACATTCTCAACCGGATCAGCTTCAAACACCAAACCTCTATTCTCCTTCGCAACAGTTGATATCATGCTAACATATTTCGTAATCATATCCATAGCAACTCAAACCGAAAGCCACAAAATACAAACAACAAAGTATACCAAAAACTGTAAAAAGGGACCCCAATGAAAAGTTGTTGCAATCAACAACGAAGGAGTGCTACCCCAGCCGTGCGTTCAAAGCAGAAACAGTACAACAAGCCTCAGCCAAATAAGGCCGGAATTAAAAACACGGGACAAAACGCCCGGAGCAATAATACGATCGATCGAAACACAAAACAAGAAATAAGTCTGTCAATAGAAAGATGAGTACCGAGTCTCCCTAAGAAATCGCACGGATCCTCCCTCAGGGTGTCATCGATCCAGAGTGCCGCTAGGGTTCTGTCATTTGACGCTCTCCTAAAATACGACTTATTCAGCACTTTCGAAACTTGACCATCTTTGTTGTTATTGTTGTTATTATTATTACACGGAATAATTATAATTATAATTATAATTATAATTACTATAATTACAATTTTATTTATAAATATAATTTAAATATAATTATATCATAATCATAATTATAAAAAAATATAATTATAATATAGTCATAATTACAATTACAATTAAAATTATAATCGGAATAATTATTATTGTACCTATTACATTAATTATAATTATAATTATAATAATAATTTAAGAAATATTTAAATAATAAGAAAAATTAAGATCAAATCGGAAGGATTCAGAACACATACAAAAAGATTCAAATCACAACTTACAAAATTTAGATGTGAAAATGAGCTCAAAGAGAACACCTTCTTTGCCCTGCACACAACTGCACAGAATCACAGCAGCGAAGGAGGCACGGAGCGAGCATCTCAGGCTCTCAGCGACAGACGCTCAATAAAATCTCTTGGCGGCTCTCTAAACCGAATCCCCATTCCAATCTTCTCCATAAGAGCAATCAGGTCAAAGTTTACTTCTGATTTATTTTTCTAGATCCGCTTTGTTCTTCGCATCAATTCATATTCCATTTTTTATGGCCATATCAGTGTTCATATTTTGAGTATGAAAGTTGTCTGATAATTTTTAGGATCTTTTTAGCAGGATATTAGAGATCTAAGCCGCGATGTTGGGCATTTTACGGCACAAAGCTGCTTCCCGCGCATTATCTGCTTCGGTTCGTAGTATATATGAATATATATGTGCTCATGTATTTAACGCGCGATTAGTCCTTGCTTTTTATTTTCGCTAGCTTGAATTTTCTGGAGCAGAGTTTAGGTAAATCTTTGCGTGCGATTCAACCTGGATTATTGAGTCCCAAAGCATGCTCTGTTGTTGCTGAAGAGGTAAGACTATTTATTTGAATTGATCTTTTTATCGGTTGATGATTCGTTAAGTTCCAACAAATTATTTATCAGTTATTTTAATTGAGTCATTCAATCGTTTATTGGTATACTAGTTTGCGGTTATTTGGATTTTAGTACGCTTATAAGTTTTAGGTTGATGTAAATGGCATGTGAACTCATATTTGGTTTTGTATATTCTTTATATATCATATTGAACATCCGCTAGGAAGTCAAAACTCTTTTAGTGTCTGATTGAAAAAGTCTTACTCTGTATATTTTATAACTAAAACTGTGTTTGGCACTCTGCTGTTAAAAGCTAATAGTCTCAAGCTCAAAAGCAGAAGCTATTTAGTAGTATTTTAAGAGGGGTGTGTAAAGTTTAGCATTTAAAAGCTTCTTAGTATCAAAAGGAAAAATTAGGATTGAAGTTTTAGCTATAAATGGATAACTGTGGATGTTAATATATCACTCCGTAATAGGGTTATGACTTGTGTTGATAAAAAGTCCTATGTTTTTTTTAATAAAACATTTTAGGATATAACTATTGAAATAACTCTCATTTTGCGCTCTTATCCATTTTACAGAACAAACTCTATAGCTTAATGGAAACAGAATAGTCTATATTTTTCAAAACAAGCTCCACCAAGCAGAGCCTTCATATAATTGGATTTGAAGTTGAAAATTCCATGTTTTGGATAGTTATTAAGATAAATGTTGAAATGCACAGTGACATGAAATTGGGCTAGTGTTGGATATTCCTAACTTACATGATATTTCAAAGTTGAACTTTATTGTTTTACAGAAGCGTGTTTCTATGGCAAGATATTTGTTAAACTTAACATTTTCTTAATGTTGTGCCTGATGCCATCTAGAATTCATCTGAGTAGAATATTGTTCAGAAGCAATCACATCTGTGAACTATGGAATCAATGAAACACTTGTACATGCTATCAAAACTGAAAAATTTATGTGACATTTCATTCCAGTTTATTTTCAAATGTTATTAATGGGTGGATTCTTATTGGTTAGAGGCTATGAGCTCTTGTTGTTGCTATGTTTTTGTAATATGGTAATATATCGACAGAATATGTAATATATGCAAAAATTTGAACAGATCTTGATTCACCCAAGAGGACGTGTTCAGGCTCAGAATTTCTGCTACCACGTTTTACCCGGTAAAATACAATATTGATAAGTAAACGCACTCCATGCTAATTTACTCTTAAAAATGTACTAATTTCAGAATCTTCAAGTGGTGCAGGGAACTCAATGAATTTGAGAGCACAAAGGTTGGTGATCCATTCTCATGTTTTGTATCCCAATTATTACTATTTATTTAAAAATGCCTCTATTTCTGTACATGCATCATTGTGCAAATTCTTAAAGAATACTGTGCACTGTCTGGGATCTTAACAGAATATGCTCAATATGATATTTCCATTGAAATATATCCGATGCTTAGCCCAATGTGTACAACATTTTTCGGCATTATGGAAAGGTATAAGTAAGTGATTTTCAGAATTTTCCTGCAATGTGTCTGATTCTATGTGTTGCCTGCAGCGGAGTTGCACTTAATTTTCATCCAAGTAAACTACAGAATTTCAGCAGGGAATATTGTTCAAGTGGTGGTATGATATCTGATTATTACTCAACTATTCTCTGTTGTCTTCACTCTTAACATTACATGGTTGTCACATCAATACAAAATGTATATATTGAGGGTCTCCAATAGTTTGTGTTCATTTGAAGCTAAGAGTCTAAGACCATATATAGGCGGTTGAGAATGGACATTATATATTGGGATGCATCTTTTCCCACTTTTCCATTTCATTGGTTTCCCGTACTTTTTCTGTTTGCGTGAAGTCTTTCTACATTATTACCCGTAGTGTTGGTCTGTTTACCCAATTTTGTGCGATGGAACTTGGAAGAGTGGAAGACATGCATTTCGAAATCAATGGGATATTTCCTTCTTAATTGCATCATTGCCAATTAACATCTAGAAGTCCACTTCGCGAAATAAAATTTTTGCTTGTATCTGCCTGTTGTGAAATATCTTTTTACAGGTCTCCATTCTTCAACTAGTCAAATTTCTCAAATCTTGATGATTCAGATGATATTCGTTTTGATATTATGATATTGAGAAAACAAGATTCTCTGTGGAGTATTCTGTTACCTTGCTGTATTTAGTTCAAAATTGAAAATGTTTTTGTTATGTCATAGTTGTGTGCCTTGTATTTACCCCAAACTCTTTTGGGACTTCTTTTTTCCTTTTCATGTCTCCTTTTTTGTCTTCCATTGTGCTTAATGTAATCTGGTTGAAGCTGTTGTTCCATTTATGGGCGAATCCATCAGTGATCTACGTTTTGATAATATGATGATAGTGAGAAAACAAGATTCTCTGTGGACTATTCTGTTACCTTGCTGTATTTAGCTCAAAATTGATTTTTTATGTTATGTCGTAGTTGTTAGTCTTGTACCTAGCCCTTAATTTGGCACTCTGTGATCTTTTTCTCTTTAAGTCTTCTTTTTTTGTTTGCCATTGTGCTTAAGGTGATCTGGTGGATGTTGTTGTTCCATTTATGGCTGAATCCATTAGTGATGGCACACTAGCTACATTCCTGAAGAGTAGGTTCACTTCTTTTACCTAATTGTTTTTGTGCTATATTGCTTTGCCTGAATTGATACTTCTCAAATGTTTACCACTTATATTTCCTCTTCATTCTGTATGATCAGAACCTGGTGATAGAGTAGAAGTTGATGAGCCTATTGCTCAGGTTGAAACGGATAAGGCACGTCCCTAACTCTATGAGTCTGCACTTTAGAGGTTTGTTTATGCTCAAGCCTTTTGACTTCTCAGTCAATTAACTTGGGTTGTTTCTGTTTTCTCTTTCAGGTAACAATTGATGTTACTAGTCCTGAAGCTGGTGTAATACAGGAGGTAAAATGCACTCTTATCTTATATGTATAAGCTTGCAATGTTATATGCAATCTTATTACTATTTACTTGCTTTATTCATCACCTTTTGAGTTCTAGAGTTGGAATTTCCCCCCCGGTTCATTTTCTTTGATTGAATTAGTTTGTAGCCAAGGAAGGGGAAACCGTAGAACCAGGTACCAAGGTTGCAATCATTTCAAAATCTGCTGAAGGTGTGGATCATGTTGCTCCATCTGAGAAGCCATCAGGAAAAGATACCCCACCACCATCTTCTTCAGTTGATGAACAGAAAGAGAAAACAAAGCCAAAAGTTGAAGCTTCTCCTGTCAAGGAAACACCTAAGGAAACTAAAGCTCCTCCCCCTAAAGTCTCTGCTTCTGAACCTCAGCTTCCTCCCAAGGATAGAGAAAGACGAGTTAGTCTTAAAACTCTGTTTTCATTCCAATTTATTTTAATTTTGATCAAACATATTGAGCCCCAAATCTCAAATTTGTTGCAATATTTAGGTTCCTATGACCAGGCTCAGGAAAAGAGTCGCTACTCGTTTGAAAGACTCACAAAACACATTTGCATTGTTGACAACTTTTAATGAAGTTGACATGTAAGTTCAAACCATGCTTTCCGTGATTCAGAATTATGTCAATCTTCTTCCTATTATTGCATTTAATTGATGATGTGGGGGAAGGGAGTTGGGAGAGGGAATGGATTAAGGTTAGGCGAAAGTCTCAAGCTGGCTCGTGGCTTAAGCCTCATACTTTACACTGATTTTCGTTACAAATTAGATCCACTAATCATCCAAGAAATATTATTGTTAAGACAATAAGTTAAGTCTCACAAACAAGAGTTCTAAGATATAGCTGTACAAAATACACATTGCAGTCCCACACATTACAAGAAAACATGAAATCATAATTTCAGATTCGTTCATGTCAAATAAAACCAGGGAATCGTGAGTTTTTGAACAAAAAATTGAATTATATGCCTCATAAATCTTCTTCCATGTCCTTGTCCTAAGAATCTGCTAATTATAAAACTTTGAATATAATACTATGGTTCTTCAAATAAAAGAAATTTGGCATTGTCAAAACTTTGGATGTTGCTGGGAAGTCTATGTACACCTGGAGCTGTTGTCAGAGTAACATAGGAGAAGAGGTATGGGGTTTTGTAGCTCACTGGAAAGGAGAATAAATGAAGATGTAGTGCTGGTGGGCTTAAATCGCGACTGAAATTTTAGCGGGGTTTTAATTTTTATGGACCCATTTCACGTTCTTTAAGATGTATTTGTACTTTTCTGAATTTATATGCTGTGTGGCCTATGTCTATTTTGATTTTTTATTGGGCTTACGCCGCACTATTTATTATCTCAATAATGTGAATATCATGGTTATTTCAACTTTCAAGTATATAATTTGTGCAAGATTGCCATTGCATATTCGAATTGCAAAGTTATAGCCTGCTCTGGCAATGGTATTTATCAACTGCTGCTTGTTTGCAGGACAAATTTGATGAAACTCCGTTCTGATTACAAGGATGCTTTTGTTGAAAAGCATGGGGTAAAGCTAGGTCTTATGTCTGGATTTATTAAGGTATACAACGGCTGGTGAGGGGTTATAATCGATTCATGTGTATGTCATAACTTGTACTTCCACCTCTAATATCTAAATTTATTATTTTTATATACACCCGTTTCAGGCTGCGGTTAGTGCACTACAGAACCAGCCTATAGTTAATGCGGTTATTGACGGTGATGACATCATATATAGAGACTACATAGACATCAGTATAGCTGTTGGCACCCCAAAGGTAAGCCCCAACTATATATTTCTTTGTACTATACGTGTAAAAGGTAGATAAGATATCCTAAGTTTTCATATCTAAAGCCATTTTTTGTCTTCCCCTTGCTCCAGGGCCTTGTTGTCCCAGTTATCCGTGAAGCTGGCAAGATGAATTTTGCTGAGATTGAGAAGACAATTAATGCACTGGCTAAAAAGGCTAATGATGGAACTATATCAATTGATGAGATGGCTGGTGGGTCTTTCACAATATCAAATGGTGGTGTTTATGGAAGTCTTCTGAGTACCCCCATCATCAACCCTCCTCAGGTATGTGCATTTTCAGAGCATTTTGCTTAGAAAACAAGTTATGGACATCACACTAGTTTCAAAGTATCACCTGTGGTCCCACATCAGCTTACAGGTCCTATTCACTTTTGGGAGTAATTACACTTTTGGTCTGTGGTTTTCATTTTTTCGCTTGTGGCCCACGACTATGGATGTATTGCCACTGTTGGTCCTTCCGGTTAATTTTCGCCGCAACAGTGACCACAAAGGATGAAATATACTCCATCGGTCCCAAAATAAACTTCATTCTTTCCTTTTCCGTCCGTCCCAATATAAACTCATCTTTCCATATTTGGCAAATAATTTGTGGTTCACAACATTTTTCTTCACATGAGTTTATTATGGGACGGAGGGGGTAGGAAAAAATGAAAGTCAGACTAAAAGCCTGGATTACCGGAAAGTGGTTGGACCAGAAGTGGGAACTTTTCCTTTATTTATACAGCAAGTCTTGATTCGGTGTGGGTTGACATGTGCAAGTTACTTGATTGTAGTCTGCCATCCTGGGTATGCACTCAATTGTGAACCGTCCAATGGTTGTTGGGGGCAACGTTGTTTCTAGACCGATGATGTACATTGCCTTGACGTACGATCATAGGCTGATTGATGGGAGAGAGGCAGTGTTCTTTTTGAGAAGGATAAAAGATGTGGTTGAAGACCCCCGTCGCTTGCTACTTGATATATGATATCTATGCTTGGTTTGATTTGGTTTTCATACTTTTGCCATGTTCCTGAGTTGACTTCCTCAAATATCGAGCAAGAAGAAGAATAAATGTACTGATCCTAAAATTTTGTAGGGTTTCCATATTGCTATAAAAAAATATCAGCCGCAGCTACAACACATATATACTTCCAAATTGGAGCCCTTTTCTTTGAAAGCCAATTGGTAGCTGCTTCCATGTGGGGGCTGCATTGTTTGATACGCTTAGGAATGCAAGGTCTAAAATCCCTCATCTGGAATGTGTACCCATTGAATCTGTGGTTATTTGTTACCCATTCCCATTTACTTGTCACAGCAATACTCAAGCAGTCAATCCAATTTTTGAGTACCACTACTATTTTATGAAATTAATGCCTTTGCCTAGAGAAAATTCCAAGTACTCAAATTTCCGGTGCAAGAGTAAGCTTTTTCTGTGACAGGAACTGAATTCATTTCATTATTAATAATATGATATGATATACATGTCTTTGTAGAAGCATGTGCAAAACTATTTGCTTGTCATTTGGCAAACAGACTATTGAACTGTCATTTGAAGTCAACAAGATTTTCTGGGTTTTCAATTAGTGAGCTGTATTCAATATTCAGACTGATCAACTCAATTAGACATAAAGACTAACACCAATTGGTTGCAAACTTGCAACTTGCAAGTTGCAATATGTTCAGATTGATGAAATCAATTGTCATCACCCATCCAACACCTTCCTCGACTCCTTGAGGAGCTTGAGGCCCCAAGTTTCCTTCTTTGTTGGAGTTAATGCAGCACCACACCTTTCGGGGCATCATAAGCGACCACGATGATTCCTATTTCCTAACATGCCACACAAGACCTGCACGCTTACCTTCCTTAGACAGGGAGGCAACATTGTACTTGTTCATATTAATTGGGGGGGGGGGGGGGGGGGGGGGGGTCATTTGTGTCCAAGGTTAGACCTAGGGATGGACCGGTTCGGGCCTGGCCGGGCCTCGGTTCATGAAAGGGGAGGCCCGGGCAACCCCCGGGTCCAGGCCGGGGCTCGATTCTTATATTTTTTTTTTGGCTTTTCCTAATTAACCCCCAATCCTCCCCCCTCACCCCCAAACCACCTCAAATGCCCCATCATACCCAGCCCAACCCAAAAACTTAAAAAAATTCAAAAAAAAAAATAAATAATTTGACCCGGATCGGGCTTGAACCGGCTGGGCCGGTTCACGATTTAGGAGGCCTGGGTCCGGCCCGCCTACCTCACTAGGCTGGGTGGCCTGAACTGGGCACCAACCGGTTCACCGGGCTGGTCCGGGCCGAGCCCTGAGAATTACACCATGTCAAAATAGAACCATTGTGAATTTGCGATAAACAATTGTTTACAAAAACAATAATTATAACATATAGAGTCCGTTTAGTAACTTTGTTTTTCGGCTTATCAGGTTTATCAATCATTTTTTTCACCAAACACGTAACTTTTGATTTGACGTGCTCAATTGCGTAATAATAAGAAAAAGAGAAAAAAGTCATATAGGCCCTCGAACTTACAAAAAAATGTCAAATAAGACCTATATAGGAGGTTCTGTTCAGCCGACGCTATTTGGGGAGGTTCCTGGTGGAGTTTTTTGATGAAATTTTGTGAGCATCTTATTCATTAAGTCTAGTTTACTCATACCAATTTTCAGCTAAAACTTTAATCGGGAAGGCATTTAAATAAATTCTTGAAGATAAGCGCGCAGTTAAAAGTGAGTTATCTTCAAGAATTTATTTGAATGTCTTCCCGATTGAAGTTTTAGCTGAAATTTGGTATGAGTAAACTAGACTTAATGAATAAGATGATCAAAAAGTTTCATTGAAAAATTCCACCGGGAACCGCCCCAAATGGCGTCGGCCGGACAGAAACTCCTATATAAGGCATACCTTCTCAAAATGCAACAAAGGCAAAAGTATGACACATATTGGGGGGGGGGGGGGGGGGCTAGGCCTGACCCAATCTAAAAATAAAACATAAGAACCTACGTAAATCAAAGAAGCAGTCAGAAAATAAATCTAAATGAGGGAAGACCAAATACATCAGAATAATAAGCCCGTTGGGCTTAGTTGGGCAGATCCATCACCCTGCCAAATTTATCAATTGATTAGAGCAATGGGCCGCCAGATAATGGGCTACCCAATTACACTCTCTAACCCCAAAAAAGAACCTGATCGCTTTCCTCTTTGCACGCAACAAACTTTCCTGAAATCCAACCTTCCATCTACTCGCACCCCCATCTTCAAGATACCTCAACGCTACCGCAACATCCATCTCAACCAGGAAATCGAAGAAGCCTTCTGAAATCGCGAAGTCAGTAGCAAAGAGGGCCACATATATCTCTTCACCCCCATCTTGTGATACTTGATTTAGATGACCCTGCTTCTCTTTGCCTCTATTTTTTCTTTCAACTTACATCCTTTAGCCTTTGGATTTCTTTATTTTAGTCAATATAGTTATTAGAACTTTCTATTATTTACATTATATATATATATATATATATATATATATATATATATATATATATATATATATATATATATATATATATATAATTTGATGAGATCAGATAATAATTCTTCAAAATGAGACTCTTAAATGAGGAGAAAACACGTCACATTTTCCCCAAGTAATATAACTTGCTCTTTTCTCAAGACATAAATTAAGTACTTTTAATAACAAGACTAAAGGTAATTATTTGTTTAAATGTGACTATTATATTAGTACTCTGAGAGTCTGAGGGTTCTATTTGTTTTGACAAAGACAAAGAAAATCATTGTTAAATAAAGAAATAATAAAAAGAAACATTATTGATAAGGCATAGTCATGTTTCTGTAAACAGATTACATGAGAATGTACCATTTGTCATTAAAAATTTTGAATTTTCATTCAAAATTCTCCATTTGTCATTCAAATTTATGTAAATTGCTTAGGACGGTCTTTAGAGCCTTGATATCTAGATTAGTCAAAATTTTCAATTTAGCATACAACTATTAAACCTTTTAACTTGTAGTATCAAGTTACCAACATATTTGTGCACTCAAGACTTATCTTTTCATTTTTATAGGTAGGTTATACTTCACTTATATATGTTGTTGGAACTAGTGTATACGCAGTATTAAACTTGTCACTGGTTACAACTTACAAGAAATTGAGTAGATCTATTGTTCAAGAATTCCAGATCACTTGCTTGAACTTGATTTTTCGTAGGGTAGTGTAGATTTATGATTTAACAACTTTAACGTCTAATTAAAAAGTACTCTGTTTATGTTAATTAGTTTCCGTTGTATAAATAATAAAAACACGAGCATGTGTCAATCACAAGTAATTTATGATTCTCTTGAGTCTTGACATGAGAAGTTGCCCCAATGACCAAAAATGGAAAAGCAAAAAAAGTTGACCAGATGACCATAAAAGCAGAGTCAAACCTCAAGTATTTAAACGTAAGCATGAAAGAGGTGATGTTGTGCATTATTATCAACATTTACAGTACTACTTTTAGTAATACGCAAGGAAAACAAATAATTATCCATCCAAATGTATACAAAATATGGCACAATTGTTACTTTTTTCAATTAATATGAGTGAGCTGTTGATAAGTATTCAAACTCCAAGGATGGAAAATCACTGTTTTTTAATTACTTCAGAGCTGATGTCCAAGTGTCCAACAATCTTCAATTTAGGATGTTTTTACTTGGATTGAAATTTGATGGTCTAATCTTGTCTGAAATGGTCTAATAAACGTCTCGTCTGTTTGTATTTTATAACTATAGAAGTCTGACCTGATCTGAATTGGTCTGTTTAAGTCTGGTCTAGTATGGATTAGTCTGTTTAAGTCTGATCTGGGACTGAAAATAGTCCAAGTAAAAACATCAACACCAAATTTAGAATTAACTTTATGCCACGCACTAGTAAGAAATAACCTGGTAGGACGGCTACCTGACCAACTACAGTCCTTAGTTATGATTCTAATACCAGTTGTGTCTACCAAAAACAAGCCACAAAATCCAGTAGGATTGTAACCATCAATTTCAAATTAGATCCGCAACCAGATTTGTCGGAACTGGACTGTTACCACCGTTCCGTTTTATGTTTCTACCTCTTGGGATTAGAACCAGGCCCGTGTCCACCCCGAAGTCAGATTCTTCTTCTACATAACTTGATGGTAATTGATAAGTTCCAATATTATCACAAGTGCAAAAAATACACTAAAGAAAACCTAATAGCAATTTCAATGGAGCAAGGTACTATACAAGGGTGCACAACAATCAAGGATAGAAAATGAGGCCTAACTACAAAGGGTATGTGTTTATAAGAAGCGTATGGAGAATACTTGCTACTGTAATAATATACAAAAGCACTGGATTAAAGAAGTAGAAGAGCTAACTTTGCGATAAAACTGGTACAAGTTATCATCCTAACATTAAAGCATTTTGTGAACCCCCACATGCTCAAGTTTCTGCAAAACGCTTCTCCTGGATGATCTGCCCAAGCTTCGTGAACAGGGATAGTTGGTCCTCAAATGGAAGGTTCATTAATATCTAACAATGAAGAAAATTCATAATCAAAATTTCATCTCCCCTCCCCCCGTTAAACTTTATTAAAAAACTGCCTTTAAGGATGTTTCTACTTGGACTGTTTGAAGGTCCCAGACCAGACCAAAACAAATCTAATCAGACCAAACTTGGATAGTTATAAAATACAAAGAAGCCAGACATTTACGAGATCAAACCAGACCAGAAAAGACATTACTTTTAAATTTTAAAATTATTTCTTTATAAAAAATGAGAAGTACTCTCTAATAGGCACCTGTTTAGTGAGGCTGAATATGGTTCATTTGGCTCAATAGACATAATTGTACAAAAAAAACTTGTTCATATACTCCCCATGTTCCTATAGTTACTATTCACTGTTCTTATTATACTTCAGTTCAGGTAAAGTAAATATAATAATCTCAATAGTGTAACTTACACACTACTTTTTTCATTATAAGGCGCAATTTAGCCAACACAGTGACCCAGTACCATTGAGTTTGTGTTTGGTGAAAAATCAGGATCAAAACACAGAAGAAAGACTGCCAAACTGGTTCTATGTATTGCACGTGGTAACTAACGTATTAACTTTATGAGTTACTTTTGAACAAAAAATATTGCTCAAAAAGTCCTACTCATTTATACTACGTAAATATTACTCCTGTAGTTATATACCTGATCCAATATCATCTCGATTGATAAGTTCTGAGGCCCCACAAATGACTGAACATATATCCATGAAAACATAGCCATCACCATCTGTGTAGGAGAACATGTAAAAATAAAGTCAATTCACAAATCTAGCAATTGGTAAAGAAGTGCTGCAACTCGACAGGAGTTTATTAAAGCCTCAGAAGTAATTTGATTATATATCAAAATGAAAAGATCCCAAATAATAGATGCTCCTGCCATAATTAGTTAGGATAGGTTGTAGAACATTATTTATTGTGTTCAAATTAATTGTAATTATCTTTGATTAATTATTCTTAGTATTAGCAGGCTTTTAGTTGAGAACAGGCTTTTTATTTAATTAAGCCCACACACCTACCATTCCTGCTTTTAGTACGTAGTATTTTTTAAAAGTTGAAGGAAATGACACATAAATGATGAAAGATAGCATTCTCTACCAGGGCTTGAGAAATGCGACCCTCAAATCAAAGTAAGCATTGACCATACTAATCACTTTTTGACGATTTTAGGGACACAGTTAGTGAAATAGCAATTGCATAGTTTACATGATTTAGTAAAACAAAACATATCATTCCTAATATTGATATTATACTCATGATAGTTTTTTCCTAGTATTGCCTCCAATACACCCTCCTTATGGTGGAACCCTTCCTCAGATCCTTGCCAGGGTAAAAGTTTTGATCAGACAGAGGGCAGGTAGTATATGCAAACACTAAAACAGAATCACTATATTTTCTCTTTACCTGGCAATCCATCCTATCTGTCAAGCCTCCATGCCCAGGGATACTATCGCCAAAGTCCTACAGTGAATAAAACGAAGTAGCCTCAGACTTGCTTATTTTGCTAAAATCATTTTATTGAAACACCTTTCCTTACAGAAAAGTCAGCCAGTTCATCAAAATAACACTCACCAAACGAGCTCATATAGGCAAAAGGAGAAAATAATAGCATATCATGGACATTCAAAATAAGATAAAATTATAAACATGGCAGTGAACCTTGAGTTTGAAGGCCCTTTTAAATCCACTTGCAAATAAGCCTCCAAAAGGAGCAAGTAATGATGCAAATAGGCCAAAAAATAGTGCATGCCACTGTACTGGCATTGCCAAAACCTGTCTTGGAAGAAACTGCAAAAAAATTATAAAGGATGCGAGGGTGAAATGTTCTTGTTTTTCTCAATACAAGTCGCTGAACTACATGCATTAAGCATTCAGAGGAAATGTGTTACCCATTGAGGGATCCACTCGGGTAGAGTGGCATAGTATGGTTTGAACAAAGGGCCAGGATCACAAGTAAGCCAGCCCGTTGATAAATCCTGTGTTATGATTAAAAAACAGACATGGAGTTCCATTTTTAAGATACAAATGAAGGTAACTTTTGTGACTCAAGAATCTAAATGTGTAAGAGAGATTTATAATCAATGATGAACTCACCTGCCTTGGGCATGTCATCCATTGAAAACGACCGAACAAATTTGCAAGCTACAGAAGCAAGTGAAATGAGACTAATTAAAACCACCCAAACAAACATCATCTAAAGATATCTTATTAACCCAGATGCATGTCACTAATATCCCCGGCTTTTCCACATACACAATCTAATTTAGTAAAAAAGACAAATAAAAAAGAGTTACAGAAAAGTGACATCGGCAGGGATGCAAAAAATGAAGTGCTATAGTTGTGTGGTGGGAAAAACTGCATACCAGAAATGCAGAGATAAGAGTAGTTACAGATGCTCCAATAAAACCTTCCCATGTTTTTTTAGGGGACAACTCGCTCAAAGGAGTTCTACCAAAGAAAAATCCAAATAAGTATGCAGCAATATCGTTGATGATGACTATTGAAACTGGTAGAAGGAACCTGCAAGATAATGCACCAAGTTCAGTATTTATATATATTTACTATGCACTGACATACTTATAGCAGCTATTGATGGCAACTTCTCTGTGAAGATAAGTTCCCTAAACTAATACCATATTACCATGAATAGCAATTTAGATCAAAACATTTATTCAGAAAATAAGTCTAGCAAGCCAAGCAATTTAGTTCGGAGATCAGCTTAAAATTGAGTTCAGAGATCAGCTTAAAGCAGCAGAAGACACAAATACTAAAAAGTTCATGAAAGCTAAATAACCTTTGCCAAGTTGGCAAATGTCTTGATGCTAGCGCCTTGACCAAAAGGTCCGAGGTTCAAGGCTTTAAGTCCCAAAAGGAGCAAAGACTCGCTATTTTTGTGCTTGGGAATATGATGGAATAAAGAAAAATGACCCACTAAACTGTTTGAGCTTCTTTATTATGAAGCAACGGTCAATCCATGCAATTTTCGACGCAATTTTCATCATGGGTCATCCGAAAACAGTTTCTTTGTGCTTTAATACAGGGGTAGGGTTGCGTACATCCAACCCCCTACCCCACTGTAGGCGGAAGCCTTTGTGGTACTGGGGTAATGTTGTTATATACTTTAGTTTTACCTTCTAAGGGTAGTTAGTCCCTGTTTATTTGTGACATTGTATACTTGTATTTGGCATAAGTTCATAAATTTTAATTATTTTATTGGAGACAATCATGGAATTATTGTTTGTAAGTTCGTAACATTATATACTCGTCATTTAAAGTGACAACAAGAAAACAAAAAATCACTTAAATCCAACAGGAAATATTCACAGGCAATTTAAATGACAGATTAGGTTTTTTAAAATAATAAATGCGATATATACTAGTGGAAATAACTTTGAAGTGGAGTTGGTTCTTATCAGAGTTACCAGAAGATTCCTTCAAAAACATTGCTTATAATGAATGAGGATTGTGCGAACACCACAATTAGAATCATATGGGTCCAGGCATACTGGCCAAACTGATATTTGTACATCCTCTTCTTTAGAGTAAGAATGAACCATATGAAACCTGTTTCCAGTTTGAAAGAATATGATACTTCAGTTCAAAACCAACAGAGCATCGTAATAATGCAGTTTATTAGTAATAAATATTGATCACAATCAGGATTAGGTTCAAATTTCTCCACTGCATTAATATACTTCTACTTTCATTGTGACTTATTTATAAGATCTGCTTCAATTAGATTCCCAGGTTAATGTTTGGCTGCTTTATCAGCAAGGTTAGATAAGAGTTTAAAATAAATAAGGGCAATTTCATAAAAGAGGTGTATGAAATACAGATATTATTCTTACATATGGCACGTGTAAAGCAGGTTAGTGCTTGTTTATTATTAATCACAAGATGGGTAAAACACTAGCCTGGGGATCTGATTAAAACTATACCATTAAACATTCATGGTAAAAGGGAAACTGATAAAACATTGAATGAAATAGAAACATAACTTAAAATCTAAACAGAAAAAAAAACTTCAGAATGTTAATGTGTACATTCATTAGAGAAAAGAAGGCATGACATTTTGGATTCCTTAAGCAAAATTAGTATTATGAGGTTTAAAGTTCCTAGGAAGCTCTGAAAGAGGAACATGCCATAAATTATAGGACTAACCTGCTATATACAAAAAGTAACAGGTGACCATGTGGTACTTGATAAGTTTTGCCACAAGCTTATATAGGAATTTGTCCGTAGTAAAAGTATTCACAAGCTTTTGGCTGAGGATGCGGCCATAAACAAAAAGCATAGCTGTGAAGTAAAAGTGCCTGAAAGAACAAGGAGTGAGCAATGTAGCAATAAAAAAATGACACTAGGCCAGGAATCACCTAAGCAAAACAGTTAAATATCTTTAACAAATATTAATGAAAGCAATTAGATATATTTAACACAAAATATTCAAGAAATAGAAAAGGTGGGGTACATGAAAGTGCATTTTCCACTCCCAGAAGAGTTTTTAGCTATGTCTTTTTGTACTTGCATATTAACCTTAATATAATTAAAGCAACAAATAGTGCTGGCAATGTCCATCATAATTTACGCCATCGGAATAGGGATCACAGCTCAACCTAATCATTAACTTCAACACTTCAACTCATAATTATCTCAATCTAAATCATGAACTTCAACAGTTCAGCTCATAATTTTGATATGAACACATGCTTAAAAGGATTACATACTTGGCCTTCGGATAACAGATTTATACAGAACTTCAGACAATTGAAAAACCTTAGCGATTGTAAATGAAGTAACTACTAATTAGTCCTTCTCTGGTAGTCAGCTTTTCTTCTATTACATCAGTCACAGCTCAAAAAAAGCCAAATAATAAAAGAGCATGACAATTATAATAAGAGCACTTCTTCCACGGTTCCACGTCAATGTCACTTAAGCCAAGGCATCACTTTCCTGTTTTCTTGACCATCCTACAAATTATTTTCTGGTTCCTAACATTTTTACCACCTATAGTGAGAAGGAACCTTACAGGAAAAACTAAACAAGTATATGAATATGGAATTTAATCAACTAAATATCAATCCTAAGTAATTAAAAATGCAAAAAGACTTCAGAAGGATATTATACAATCTACAAAGATGATAGTACAGATTCAGAGTGAGCAGGCAGTCATACATGCGTCAAATGTGAAATGTCTACCGCTTACCGTTACATAAGCAACTATGAACTATATGAAAAATTGAAGATTACAAAAGTGAGGGATATTGTACTAAACTAAGACAGACATGATAAGGAACTATCAACTCCTTTCAGTCCTTTGTCTCCATAATTCATAAATCTCTAAATACAAGGCGAGGAAATATTTATACTGATACTTCCTAGCATACTGTTGGGACTAAGGCTTGGATGTTGTTGTTGTATACTTCCTAGCATACTTTCACCTTCCTTATCTCATTTTAGGAACACTTCATTCTGTGTTTGTAAACATATCAATATATATTCACAAATTCAATTGTATTAGGAGCATCAAGTTAACATCACACTTCCATTAAAAAAATACAAAAAGAAACCCAAATGCAATTGGGTGAGAAAACAAACAACAAATTTAAAATATGGAGGAGGTTTTGAGGCACAAACATTCCGAACCGATTAAATAATTCTCTATATAAATACAACTTTGGTATTGTGAGTGTAATTATCTTTACAATGCACAAACAATGATATGCAAGAGATATAAAGTGACCCATGAAGTATTCCTTATAGCTTTCCATTGGAACATAAAAAGTACTCATGATTTAAAATATATTGACAATGTATAGTGACAACATATGTCAATAAGCTCAGGATATCAAAAGCTAGCTGGTGTTACTCACCAATTCAATAACCTGAATCCAGGGAGCCGTCTGCTTTCATGTGTTCTCCTAAGTAGTTTGAACAACTCCTTTACCATTGAGAATTGGATGATTGCAACCACGGCAAAGATATACAGGTGACCCATGTAAATTATAAAGGCAAATCCACCAATCATCAAAACAGATGAATATCCCCGAATCAGCATTGATTTGTACTTGTTCCGATCATCGACAAGCAAATGATCACCATTGGCTCGAACATCATCGGTGGGAACCTTTCATTTCAGGGATAATCGACCAAAATAGAAGTTAAACATCGTCGCGTACAAACCAACTAAAATTGATGACTTTCTAGTTTCTACATGTAACTATCAAGTGAGCATATATTGCGGGTTATAAGCTGATAATATGGAACATCATGTCTGAACTTTCAAAGTGTATTCATCGACATTCGCTAGTGGCAGAGTGGCCTATATAGCAGGGAACCCTTTCAACGAGTTACATGTAAAATGAGACCACAACTCCTAAATACTCATTACTCATTAGTAGGCAATGATTCAACAAGAGTAACAAGACCATCATTTTTGTCTCAATAGTCTATGGCTATGGGATTAATATTGTTTTGCTTCCCCATGAATTACAGAAAAAGAAATACTTGTCTTCATATTTGTAAAGACAATGATAGGATCATAGGAGAGTAGTAAACATAGATGATCACCTAAGTACTTTTCACAATACCATGAAAATATCATTACCAATTTTCATACATTTTTGGAAGAATGTCTTCAGAAGACAGACCACTATACCCAGAGAGGCACAGAAAAAAAAAATACCATGTATATTACTACATATTAAACTGGCAAATTTGAAGCCTTCTCGTGTAAAAAACATTTAAGTTCCAACTCACAACATCTGGCACTAGCATTCACTACATCTGTGCCAGTTACTGATTTTCATAATAGATTAAAAATAAGAATGAACCAACAATTCACCCATTTACCTCATTTGAGCCTCTACGGCGACGTACACGTCCACCAGGCGCTCCCTGGGAGCTAGTAGTAATTTCTCTCTGCATCTCTTCTGCCTCAAATTATCCCTCCGCTAACAAAGAAATTTATGTACACATTAACTTATGGCAGTACATGATACTATGATAGATAAGTAGTTCAACTTTATAAACAAATAGCGCCAGGCATTAAGAAGGCAAAGCTACCCAACTACACATTTCTATTAGACTATTACCCAGTGAGACAGGGTATATGACTCGGACAGGGCGACTAAACCCGCGTGTCTGTGAAGGCCCCATAGTTAGGTTCAACAGCCATGGGCGGTGATTTCATATCCAGCCTGAATGACTAGGTGGTCTACTTTGTGAGCCTAGGTACTGGACTAGCTAGCAGCAATACAGAACAAGAGCTCATGCATGCGTGCTCCATACAAATTATATACTCCACTCAAGCACGGAATAGATTATATATTAATTACAATAGTGATAAGAATAATAACAATAATGGAGATGAAAGCAATAATATCTACAAGTCCACAAATGTTGAAAACGTATATAATTTGTTCACAAGGAATATTTTTGTATCCAAATCATTCTGAATGAATTCTAGGCGAGAATGACTTTCCTATGCCCTTTGAGAAAAATTTGCAACACATTGTCTGGGATATTTTTCCATAGATAGGAAACTAAATCATCATTACAATAAACCAGACTCGCCAAATTGAATAAAAACCAATTCAGGAATCAAAACACGCGTACCGACACAAAGTTGAACCCTAACAAAACTAAACTGAAATTAAGATATAAAACGTACCCGCGGCGGTAGGGTTGCTCGAAATACGGCGATAGTTTCCGGCGAGCGGCGGCGTTGAGGCGGACTCCGGGAGCCGCGTTCAGTCTGAGCTCTGACTCTTTTGCGTAATGTGGTTGGCTTTTTGCAGGTTGGCGTGTTCCGGCCTCAAGGCATTTTAATGTTGCATTTAATTGGGGTTTTCAGACCCGCCGGTGGTGTACATTGCTGCGTACTTTAATAATAGCAGTCCGTACGACCCTGATGCCTCTAAATAAAATAAAATAAAAATTGCGTGAATCTCATTTTTAGGGGCTGCACTTCGGAACGGAGAACAGAAGGAATCGTTGGAATCGAACTACGGAGTATTAAAACTAGGTCCGGTTCGAATTATAAATACAATTGGAATCGTTATAAATTGAATTATAAATTTTTAACGATTTGATTCTTATTCTTTGTTAATATTTTGATTCCTGATTCCTACAAAAAATACATATACAGAATCAAACTGTTTATTGTCGGTTCGGTTTTGTAACGTTTCATGAATTTTTTGATAGGTAATCAAACCGATTTGAATCTTGGAGATATCGAGAATTGAAAACAAACCAATGAAAAACGATAAATCAATTAATCGATAAATATAACCACAATTATAGATAAAGCATCTGATTGAAGGAGAGGATCTACAATAGCAGGGTCGTTTTTAGCAAGTTAATTAGGTCATCTGAAACAGAGCCCACCAAAATTGGGGGTCCCATTTTTAAAAAAATAAGTTTACAATATAGTTATATACATAATATTAATATGTTGTTATTTTAAATCATGTTTTTTTATATGAACACTTGAACAAAATTTATATTTGTTGAACTATGTGAGATGTTATTATATGTCATATTATTTTTGTTCATATATGGGGTCTCAATTTTGCATTAGGAATCGGGACCTCCAATTTCATTATACCTCTGTACGATAGGTTATGGTGGAAGGACTAAAACTTTTGGCAACTTAATTTTTTTAACTTTTTTGTAATGTTTAAATCCAACATAATGACATTGTAGTTCGGTCTAACCTATGTGTCTATATCCAACCTAATCAAAACGGACGGGCTAATGCTTTTTATATGAAAAATGATTCCATGCATTAGACCCTATATTTTTAGAAGATGCTTCAAATGTGACTAAAATATAAATAAAATGCACAAATAAACGACTCATATTTTATTTACAAAATAGCATTGATATAATCTTATAATGTTAAGAAATTCAGTCCCAATTAAGGATTATCTCATCTAAACATGATAAAATTCATAGAATCAAACAATAAGAACACTAACCGGTTGAGGAGAAACCGAATGTTGATGGTGTCGTAGAAGACGATGAAGCCATTGATGTGTAGATTCTCTAAGGATACAAACCCCTACTGTGATGGATTGATCATTGATCGGTTCTCATATGAGTCTCTTTTATAATGGTGTTCGAGACCCTTGGTAAGAAGCGTGTCTTTTCCTTTTGTCGTAAGAGTGAGAACCGAACGAGTACTTATGTTTGTATCAAAGAGAAAACCCATTTGATCCCTTATGTATTATTTAATGTTAAAACATACCCATCATATGTTAACAATACATAAATCAGGGACCAAATCTGTCACATGGCAAACTTAATGGTAAGACATAAATGTCCCCAAAATATATTAATTTATATAAATGGTCCAAGGGCACTTAATGGAATATTTTCCAACATTCTCCCACTTGACCTTGAGAACATTTATACATAAGTTAAAGTAAGTGTTGGCCAAGAAAAAAAAAATCATCTTACTCCATAATAATATCAAAGCAAATAAATACAGTCTAACGGGTCAATATAACCCGGGACCCCCATTAATCATACTTTGACACTTCTTAAAGAGTATAAGGATTAATATAAGCCAAATGACATTAAACTCAGGGTATTATGTTTGTCTATTAAATAACTTTGTGTGCACAATAAAGAATAGACAAAACATACTTAAGGAGGGATTCTAAATCAAGTACTTGAAAATATTAAATAAGATAACTAATCAAACACTATGATATTAATTCCTAAACAGGATCTTTGATCAAGCCCATATTAGTGACATGTCTTCGAAAATTACTGGGCGGAAGTCCTTTGGTGAGAGGATCTGCTAGCATATCATTTGTGCTGATGTGTACGATACAAATTTCGTTTTCCTCCACTCTTTCTCGAACGAACAAATATTTTGTATCGAGGAACAATCCCGCTCCACTCGAACTGTTATTGTTTGAGAAGCTCACGGCCGCGGAATTGTCACAATAAATCCTTAGTGGTCTTGAGACGGAATTCACTACTTTGAATCCTTTGATAAGATTCCTTAACAACATCCCATGACATGTTGCGTTGTACACCGCAACATATTCAGCCATCATTGTTGAAGTAGTCGTAAGTCTTTGCTTGTGGCTTTTCCAAGATATTGGCCCACCTGACAGCAAGAAAATGTATCCCGAAGTAGACTTCCTATCGTCTTTGCACTTAGCAAAATCGGAATCGGAATATCCAATCACTTCTAAATTATTAGACCTCTCATAAGTCAATTTGTACTCCTTAGTCCCTTGAAGATACCGCAAAACTTTCTTAGCGGCTTTCCAATGCTCTAATCCTGGGTTAGATTGATATCTACCCAACATACCAGATACATATGCGATATCTGGACGAGTACAAACTTGTGCATACATCAAGCTTCCAACTACGGAAGCATAAGGAATGAGTTTCATTTGCTCTTTCTCAACCTCGGTTTTTGGGCATTGGAATGACCCAAAAACGTCTCCCTTAACTACTGGAGCAACTGATGGAGAGCATTGTTGCATGTTGAAACGTTCTAAAATGCGCTCAATGTATGCCTTCTGGGACAGGCCTAACGTCCCTTTGACTCTGTCTCGGTGAATTTCAATGCCTATAACATAAGAAGCTTCACCTAGATCTTTCATGTCAAAATGGCCAAATAATAAGCGTTTTGTTTCATGCAACAAATCCAAGTCACTACTTCCTAATAAGATGTCATCAACATATAACACAAGTATGATGAATTTACTCCCACTCATTTTGAGGTAAGTGCATTGATCTACTTTGTTTTTAATGAAGCCATTTGATTTCATGACTTCATCAAATTTAAGGTACCATTGTCGAGATGCTTGCTTGAGCCCATAAATAGACTTCTTGAGTTTACACACTAGATGTTCTTGACCCTTAGAAACATAACCTTCTGGTTGTATCATATAAACATCTTCGTGTAAATCTCCATTTAAGAAGGCTGTTTTGACGTCCATTTGATGTAGCTCAAGATCAAAATGAGCTACTAAAGCCATAACGACCCTTAGGGAGTCCTTTCGAGAGACGGGTGAAAAGGTCTCTTGATAATCTACACCTTCCCTTTGAGTGTACCCCTTGGCGACCAATCTTGCCTTATATCTTTCAATGTTTCCCTTTGCATCTAATTTGGTCTTGAAGACCCACTTGCTTCCAACGGGCTTATGACCCTTTGGTAATTCAGCAAGTTCCCAAACATTGTTCTTCTCCATGGAAAGAAGTTCCTCATTCATGGCTTCTTTCCAATGAGTCGATTGGTCACACTTAATGACATCAAGGAAAGATATAGGATCTACGACTTTCCCTAAATCAAAGTCGGCTTCTTCATTCAAATATATCAAATATTCATCATAATTTGTGGGGCGTCTGACCCTTTGAGATCTCCTTAAGGGTTGCTGATTTTCCAGAATTTCATTAGTATCCGGTGGAGTTGGTTCAACATTGATTGGAGTTTCATTCGCCTCTTGACTTGTTGCATCATTATTATGAGGTGTATGACTTTCACTATGATCTTCAAGTGAGGAGTTAGGTGGAATGGGCAGTATAATAAGTGGATTTATTCCATTTCCCTCTTGAAGTTCATCACAAAAGTTTGAACCACTACTACTCCCACTAATGTTAGTATTTTCAAGGAATTCAGCATGTCGAGTCTCGACAATTCGGGTGGTATGAGATGGGCAATAGAACCTATATCCCTTAGATCTCTCGGGATAGCCAATAAAGGAACAACTAATGGTTCTCATGTCAAGTTTCTTCAATTGAGGATTATACACTTTTGCTTCAGCCGGACAACCCCACACTTTTAGGTACCTTAGACTAGGTTTCCTGCCCGTCCAAAGCTCATATGGAGTCTTAGGGACATATTTAGATGGTACTCTATTCAGTATGTGGGTTGCTGTTTTTAAGGCCTCGGTCCATAAGAATTGGGGAAGATTAGAGTTAGCCAACATACTTCGGACCATATCCATAAGAGTCCTGTTCCGCCTTTCAGCAACCCCATTTTGTTGAGGGGTGCCGGGCATGGTATATTGGTTGATGATCCCGTGATCTTTACAAAATTCATGGAAAGATCCAGGAGCTTGACCAATATCAGTGTGTCGACCATAGAACTCTCCACCCCTATCCGATCTCACTACTTTGATTTTTCGATCAAGTTGATTTTCAACTTCAGCTTTATAAGCCTTGAACATATCTAGTGATTCGGATTTTTCCTTAATCAAATATAGGTACATATAGCGTGAATAATCGTCTATGAAAGTAATAAAGGACTTATGACCACTTATGGAATCGGGAAAAGGCCCACAAATATCGGTGTGTATTAATTCTAACAAACCAGTGCTTCGTGTGGCGCCTTTCTTAATTTTCTTAGACAATTTCCCTTTCAAACACTTCACACACTTGTCATAATCTGAGAAGTCAAGATTTGGAAGAATTCCGTCTTTCACGAGTCTTATCATTCGATCTCGTGATATGTGGCCCAACCTTTGATGCCACAAATTAGACGACGATTCCAATTCTCTCTTTCTCTTACAAGGATTTTCAGTTATATTAAATGACAAAGGGGATTCCATAAAATTAGTATCTAAGCATAATTTATAGAGATTTCCCTCCATGCTACCAAATCCTATTACATTTGAGTTCAAGCTTATTGTCACTTTATTGTACACGAAATTAAATGTAAAACCATCAGCACTTAGTTTCGATACAGACACTAAATTACGAGTAATATTAGGTACATAAAGAGCATCACGAAGATGAAGAATGAAGCCACTCTCTAAAATTAATGAGATAGTTCCAATGGCCTCCACTTCTAATTCTTCTCCGTTGCCCACCTTAATCACTCTTTGCTTTCTTCCCAATGTCCGGATTGAATGGAATCCCTGCGGTGTGTTTGAAACATGAACCATTGAACCAGAGTCAATCCACCAAGTATTAAGGGGAACTGATGTGTTTAATGATTCATAAATTACATAGGTGGTTAAGTTACCTTTCTTATTCAGCCATGCCTTAAACTTTGGGCACTCCCTCTGGTAATGCCCTTTGCAGCTACAAAACTTACAGTAAGGACCGGAGCTCACGCTTGCACCTATCTTTGGGACCTTAGAAATGTTACCTTTTCCTCCTCCTTGACGATTGCCTTTCCTTTTCTTTGAGTTTGTGGTGGTGAGATGAGCAACATATGGTCTTTCAACTTTAAGGCGCTCTTCTTCTTGAACGCACATAGCAATCAACTCGCTCATTGTCCATTTCTCTTTCTGCGTGTTGTAATTGATCTTGAACGGACCATAAGATGCAGGTAGAGAAGTCATTATGAAATGAACGAGGAAACCTTCACTTATTTCCATGTCCATACTTTTGAGCTTATTGGACATATCAGACATTTTCATGATGTGCTCACGAATACCACTCACTCCATCATACTTACTCGTCAACATTTTGAGAATCAAGGTACTAGCATGTGCTTTAGAAGTGCCCTTAAACTGTTCTTCCACATATTCTAGGTAGGTTTTCGCATTTTCTGAGTCTGGAATGGCTCCGCGAATAGCTACAGATATGGAATTCTTGATCACCATGAGGCACATTCTGTTGGACCTCTCCCACTGTTCATAAGAACGCTTCTGCTCCACAGTGCTCTCAGCGTTAGGAGCATCCGGTGGATCCATTCTCAGTGCTTGGTCGAGGTCCATCATGCCAAGTGAGAGTTTTACAGATTCTCTCCATGTTGAGAAGTTTGTACCATTTAGAGGTTCTATCCCATAATTGTATGGGGTAACAGTAGATGCTGAAATAAAAGTTTTAACAGAGGTAATAATAGAAGCTATTTATTATATATAAGGGAATACAATAAGGTATGTCAATTATTAGTAAATAAGCCTATTATCAACACCAAATAATAGGAAAAATTCATATCATGTTTAATAACTAACATTGCGTTGGCTAATGTTAAGTATCAAACATTATGATATTAAAATTAGGCTGAAAATTGTGTCACATATCACCTTTGAGCAGAAATATAACACATTTGATTATGCTTAATTTCATTATACAAGTTATCAAATAACACACCTTTGGGTTTGTTAAAAGAAAACTCATATAATTGCTTAAGATAGTCAAAATCAATAATCTTCCGTTGGGCCGATCATTGAATTTGATATTCAGATAATTAGTTAATAATCCATACTACAACTTTGAATATGGAAGCAAATTTGAATTTGCTGCAGTATTATTCTTGTATCATGGATTATGATTAAGCATCTTTTAAAATGCAAATGATCCGGTCGTCAGTTTCAATTCAGATGAAATTCAAATGGGTTACCCTACGTTGGAATGAAGTTATTCATTCTGGAAAACATTTGCAGAAATTAATTTGAGTCATGCATTTAGGGTGAAAAAACGTGTGTGCTTTTATCCTCTTATACAAACAGAAAACAACACCAGTGACATCACTTTGGAAAATATAGAGATATCAACAGCACTAACAAATTAAATTGACAACCACCGACCCATGATTTCATCACTCTGTATATCAGTTTTGATTACTTTTACTTTATGTTTGATCAACCAAAAAACAGACAAAATAATCAAATTAAAACTGAATTGAAAATGAAGAATTAAGCATCACATGCTATTAAATGGTGTCAACACACACTCAACACTTATTGATAAAACCACTTTGCACTTCAGGACTAAGGAGTAGTATGCATTGGTTGAGAAATAAACTAATGATAGTTTTATCCAAAACAACCGTAAACAAACATAGTAGTTCACATCAAAACTTGAGTTTTAATAGAAAGGTCAAGCAAGGTATATGAATTAAGTGCTGTGTGTCTGCACTTCACATATGGAAATCAACATAGTGGCAGACAACACACTAAGATCCGATGCTTTAAAAATAAAGAAATCAAACGCATGTCAGAATGTAAATTTAAAATTATCATCCGCTGTAGAAAATATCGAAACGGAAAATTGGTGATAAACTCAAACAACGAATGAAAGTTTAACGCGACAAAAACGAACAAAGATGAGATTTAACATGCTCTGATACCAAATGTTAAGAAATTCAGTCCCAATTAAGGATTATCTCATCTAAACATGATAAAATTCATAGAATCAAACAATAAGAACACTAACCGGTTGAGGAGAAACCGAATGTTGATGGTGTCGTAGAAGACGATGAAGCCATTGATGTGTAGATTCTCTAAGGATACAAACCCCTACTGTGATGGATTGATCATTGATCGGTTCTCATATGAGTCTCTTTTATAATGGTGTTCGAGACCCTTGGTAAGAAGCGTGTCTTTTCCTTTTGTCGTAAGAGTGAGAACCGAACGAGTACTTATGTTTGTATCAAAGAGAAAACCCATTTGATCCCTTATGTATTATTTAATGTTAAAACATACCCATCATATGTTAACAATACATAAATCAGGGACCAAATCTGTCACATGGCAAACTTAATGGTAAGACATAAATGTCCCCAAAATATATTAAATTATATAAATGGTCCAAGGGCACTTAAATGGAATATTTTCCAACATATAAAAAATATAAAACTTTCTCCATTAAAAGTGAATAAATCTTATTTCTTTTTCCTTTGATTCTATTTCCTTCTCATGGGTTGATGCCAGCACATTTCTTGAGTACTCACGATGCTTTTACTTGGACTGTAATTCGTCCCAGACCAGACCAGACCAGTTCAGACCAGACCAGACAAGATTTGGATAGTTATAAAAATACAAAGAAACCAGACCAGACCAGACCAGACCAGACCAAACCAGTTCAGACCAGACCAGACCAGCAAATTACAGTCCAAGTAAAAACATCCTCAATCATCCATATTCTTTTCTTATGGTTTATTCATCTTGCTCAATTCATCACGAACCGGTGATGAATAATTGTGCGTTATTAACATAAAAATAACTTACCTTCAAAAAAATCATAAAAATAACTTCAATTCAAGTTAATTAGTTAGTTTATCCAATCCAAAGTGTTTAGTCCACACAAATTATGTAGCACTTTACTATATGGAAAGAATAAACGACCACGTAGTATGTTTGCTCTCTAATAAATATGTAACGTACAAATATTGATATAAATAGGGGTGACAACTGACCATGATTGATCATACTCAATAGCAACACCTTAAACCCGAGATTTCAATTACCCACTTGCACAATAATTCATAATGTTATTATTAATGTCTCTTATAGTGTTTTTAATACAACCGAAATAATGTCTTTATTATAGCGTTATATGTAGACATCTCATCACAATTGTGCCCCCTAAGAAGAGGATGGGTACACTTTTACACTTGGTGTTTTAGAGAATAAGATCCTCTAACGTATTATTTTATTCGTTCCATTTTACATGTTTTATTTTTTCGCAGTCCAATAAAAGTTTCATTTCTTTTTTCAAATTGAAATGTGTGATCTACCACATTTCATATTATTTTACTCAAATCACAATCACAATTTTCACTTTCCCAACCACTTTATTAATACTTCTTTCGTTCTTTAAAAGTTGCAATATTGGGATATTTGCACTATTCACACAACTTACTTTGACTACGATTTTCTAATATTATATATAATCAAGTTATTATATATAAAATGTTATTGAATTTCTATTAATGTAATTCTTTTAATTTTTTCTAATACATAATCAAATATAATTATAATCAAAATTGTGTCTTGATAAATGTAAATTCAAAATGTTACAATTTTTAAAAAATAGAGAATAATACTACATAGTTTTTTTCAAACTAGGGGGTGTCCCCAACACGGATTTTAAATCATTTTAAAGAAGTTTAGAATTCCATCCAAATCCAGGTGTCCTCAATTTAGATTTCTACAGAGTTTGATTATTGATTATTTTGATGGACTTTGATAGAGTTTGATGGACTTTTGGGCCAAAAAATAGAATAACCCATTCCACCAACAATCTCACCTCCACCGCTTGGATTTCCAAATCCATTTTTTAAAAACCTGCGATACATCGTCTCTTCCTGAGCACGACGCACACGCTTCTAATACGACCGTTCTCTTCCTGCGCACACACGACGCTTGGGTTCGCTTCCATCTTCCAACTACACTCACCATCTTCATCCTTGAAGTATTATCTAGGTAGGATTTTCTCCAAATTTCTGATTCAATGCATATACAACAATACCAAATTTATCTCTGAATTTTGAAGTTAATTGATATTTTATTGAATCAATGATAGTTTTGTGAAGTCTATGATGCCAAATCCATCTACTCTGAATTTATGAGTCCTGCTCTTATGAAGAATTTGTATTTGTAGTGTAGTTTTGTATGTTGCTGATTTTATGAAGTCTGATTTTAATTCTCCATTGTTAGAGAAGATTAACAAATTAATCAATAGGAAGATTAAAACAGTAGGAAGCATTCTTACTTTTTTATCATTAATCTCCACCCATTTTTCATCTATCCGCTACTGCTCCGTCCGAAATGAATTTCCAATTTGTAGAGTTTAATACTGTACAAAGATAAAATCAATTGTCTATAATAATATGTATGCTTAATAACTATAACTTCTTTGGTAGTTCTACAATGAGTGCTTTGCAAGGAAAGGAAAAAGCTGTGTATAATGTGTGGAGTACAGAAGAAAGTTCTTTATTACTTGATCTTTTGGTTGAGGCTGCTCAACGTGGATGAAGTGATTGTAGTGGACTGATTACTAAACAAACTCTTGAATCTAAAATACTCCCGATGCTAAATGAAAAGCTTGGATGTCAAAAGACATACAAGGAGTATCAAAGTCGATGGAAGTACTTCAAGCAAAGATATCAAAAATATGCTGATCTGGTGAAGTTCAGTTCGGGGTTTGGGTGGGACCCAACTACAAAAAAAAATTACGGCTAGTGAGGAAGTGTGGAAAAACTACTTAGAGGTATATCATATAATCCTACAACTACCTAAATAACTACGGAGTAATATTTAATTATACTAATCCAAAATTAACGTACTCCATAATATATATATATACTATCCTCCGTATCTCAATAATTGCAACATTGGAATATATACACTATTCATGTACTTTACTTTGACTACATTTTATTTAATAATGTATGTGAATTATTTTTTTTTTGAAAAATGTTGTTAAATTCGTCTCACTACTAAGTTTTATAATCTGATTTTTATTTTATTTTTACTAATATAGAATTAAATATAATGACGGTCAAAGTAGTGCGTTGGCAAACGTGAAATGTTGACTGTTGCAACTAAAAAGTGACGGAGGAAGTATATATATATATATATAATCTTCTCTTTTGTAGTCTCATGGTGTTCATAAGAGTCTCCGAACGGATACCATTCACGACTATGAAGATTTACAAATAGTAGTTGGGAATGTAACAACTACAAAAAAAAATCAGTTGGCTTAGGTGAGGAGTCTGATCTAGGACATATGATGTTGAAAAGAACACTCAAGCTTCAATAGAAGACTATGTGTATGATGAGTCTCAAGGCACGTACGTCCCAATCCAACAAGATCCAATACATGATTTAACGGTGCCTCCTACATGTTCCAATAGGAGTGCAACTCCCTCAAGAAGTAGTGGTTCTAAAAAGCGAGCCAAAGATCAATGTGAAGGGAGCTCTAAGCCAAAAAGTAGTGAGTCTCGTTCTGAATTTAAGACGAAGGTTGCTAATGGAATGGATTCTATTGCTGAGATTGCTAGTGACATTCGAGGAATGAGGATATTGATGGAAAAGAGGGAGAAAGATAGGGAGAAATATGAGATTGAGAAAAGGGAATCAGAGAACAACAACAACATATGGAATGCTATAAAAGAGACTCCGGGTTTAGATGAACGCAGACGCTACAAAGCCCCTACGCTCATATATAAGTTTGGAATGAAAGAAGCTTTTCTCAAGATGTCACTTCAAGAGCGTCAAGAGTGGATAAACTATAACATCGAAAAAGACTATGCTTGATTTAGGAAGCTTTCTTCTCTTTGTTTTTCACGAAACTTTTATTTATGATGGAACCTTTCTTGTTGAACATTTTTTGTTATTGAACTTTTATTCCTTGCTACCCCGTTCTATGAATTATTTATACCAGCTGATGTTATTTTTGATTACTTATCTCATTTTCTTATTTCATGTATTGTTGTGAAAGTTCAATTAAAATGTCATATTAAATGCTTGTGTAGGTTGGATGAAATGGAAGATGAAACGAGGGAAACAAGTAGTGAAGAATTTTATGAGATGTTGAGGTTAATTTTATTAGCTCTTCAAGCAATACTTCAAGTATTGAGTGACCTATTACTGTTAATGCATGAGGGAGAGTATATTGAGCGTCCTACTCGCAAACCTATCACCAACATTGGATTTAATTACATAAATACAGTGTTAACTGAAGATCCTGTGCATTTTAAAGAAATGCATAGGATGTACCCTGATATTTTTCTAAAACTTTGTAGCATTATTAGGGAGAAAACACCGCTACGAGATACCCGTTATGTTTGCGTGGAAGAAATGATTGTGACATTTTTACTTACGGTTGGTCAAAACAGTCATTTTTGTATTACACGCAAAACATATGGTAGAGCACATTCTACTACTAGCAGAAATTTTAACAAAATTTTGAAGGCTTTAAACACAATTTCATCCATGATGATGGTGAAACCGGCAGCTGTTGTACTTAGCAAAATTAGAGAGAGTACACGGTTTTATCCTTACTTTAAGGTAATCATTTACTGCTCATATAAAACTTTAATTTCTTATTATAATTTGAAAAATATTATTATTTATTTTATCACTAGGATTGTATTGGAGCAATTGATGTTACATATATACTCGCGATAGTTGATGGTCGTGATGTGACCCCTTACCGTAATCGCCATGGAATCCTATCACAAAACGTGTTGGCGGTTTGTAATTTTGACTTGGAGTTCATTTATATTCTTAGTGGTTTAGATGGTTGAGCTCATGATTCAAAATTATTAAATGATGCACTAACAAGAAGAAATGGCCAAAAAGTTCCACGAGGTAAGCATCATTTTTATCACTATAAGGTATTTTATATCTGTGTCGTATAGTAATTTATCATGTATTTTATTTGTCATCTAGGTAAGAGTTTTCTAGTTGATTGCGAATTTGCAAATCGTCGTCAATTTTTGGCTCCATTTCGAGGTGTTCGATATCATCTTCAAGATTTTGGTGGGCAAGGTTGCCATCGTGAAAATGAAAAGGAGTTATTCAATTTACGTCATGCTTCCTTGAGGAATGTTGTTGAGAGAATATTTGGTATTTTTAAATCACGGTTTGCGTTTTTTAAGTCAGCCCCTCCATTCTCATTCAAAACGCAAGCAGAGTTAGTATTGGCCTGTGCAGGAGTGCATAACTTTCTACGCAAAGAGTGTCACTCAGATGAATTTCCTGCTTCTTCAGATGATGAAGACTCTTTAGACGAATCTTTATTAGAAGACGACGAAGATGAAATTGACACCCTCCAAACGCAGGATGAACAAAGACAATATGCAAATCAACGGAGAAACGATATTGCACAACAAATGTGGACAGATGTTATCAATGAAGATTACATATATTGAATGTATTCTTTTTGTTACTTTAGTACGGTTCCTAATTGTTTAAGGTTGTGCTTTGATTATGGATTAAATATCAATTACATAGTTTGTTATATTTCAATTTTAAATTTTTCTTTAAATATGACTACATTGAAGCCAATTTATCGTTAACATTTCCCAATGAATCAAAAAAAGAACGAATAAATTTTTTATCAAAATATTCCAACGACTTTTCAGACGGCGGTTTGCGGTGGCTGAGCAGGTGTGGCGGATGGACTCGGGTCCGGGCCGGGTCCGGGTCGGGCCTAGGCCCGGGCGGGCCGGCGGGTCAAAAATGGTGGACCCGGGACCGGCCCGGGTAACCACCGGGTCCGGTCCGGGTCCGGGCCGGGCCGGGCCCATTATAATTTTTTTTTTCTCTTCCTAATTAACCCCCCTTCCACCCCCAACCCCCAAACCACCCCAAATGGCCCAAAATACCCAGCCCAACCCAAAAATTTAAAAAAAAAAATGAAAAAAAAGAAATAGTTTTTGGCCCGGACCGGAAAACCCACGGGCCGGGCCTACCCGGACCGGTCACTGACCGGGCCACCGGGCCGGGCCAGGCCGGAACAGTACCGGTCCCGGGCCGGTTCCGGGTCGGGCCACCCGGCCCGAGTCCATCACTAGGTGTGGGGGCTGGGAATTAGGGTAGGAGTTCACACCGACTTGTATTTCAAATCTATTAAAATCTATTGAAATCCATATGATTCCATGAAATAGAATTCCATAGAATTCCATATGAATCTCATGAAATCCGTAGAATTTCATTAAAATTCATAGAATCTACAATCCTTTAAAATCATTTAAAATCCGTGTTGGGAACACCCCTAAAAGAAAATTCGTGCTTAAACTCAACACACATCTATCGATAATTAAATTCTTTGGGCAACTAATCTAGCATGGTCCTCTGCAAAGAAAAACCAATCTCATGGACCCCTGTCGTTGACCTATCAATTGTACACTTGGACACTTGATCTTCAAGAGTCAGGGTATCTCATCTTTTCTTAAAGGTAAAGAATAAAGGTTGTCTGAGATCAATTCGAATTCATGTTGTTTATGGAAAAAAATCCATTCATGTTAAAAATTGTAATCAGTTAAGCTTTTTAGGCTTACTGTTAAAGAATAAAAATTGTAATAATAAATTAATTGGTTTTGTCTTACTCATAATGCAATAAAAGGGGTGCGCGCAGTCCGATACTGATCCTGAACCAGCCAATCCAGTTCCCCAAGCTTGAGACCGGAACCGACCCGTAGTACGATACCCAATTCCAGTCCGGTCTACCTAGGCATGGACCCAGGCCTCGATCCGAGCCTGACCGGGCATTTTTTGGATTTTTGAGGACCGAAACTGGCCCGAGTAGCTACCGAGTACGAAACAAGCCAAGTGGGGCCAAGCCGATTAAACTAATTTTTTATTTTTTTATTTTCAAATTACTTCATACCACCTCACCCCACCCCCACACCCTAAACCCCTCCGAAACACCCGACCCAACCCATTCACCTCCCAAAGATTGTGGAAAATCAAAAACAAAAAATTTGGCTGAGACTGGGCCCAACCCGACCAGTTCACTTTCTGGAGAGCCAAAGTCCACTCCAAAAACTGGCAGTTCGGGTATAATGCACACGGCCCAGGTACCAGGTCGGTCCGAAACAGTACCAGGCTGGGCCGGTTTTTAAAAGCATATCAAATCCAAAAAATAAGTGCTCTTTCATGTATCTAATACAGAGTATATTTTAGGAAATATAACATTTATAACAAATGTTTCAAAAAAGAAGTCCATATATTTCATGTCTGCTCAAGAATCATTCTGTTTTTTCTTACTCCGTAGTCCGTAATAAAGAAATAATGTCGGGAAAACGGAACTAAATATGGGTAACTACAAGCCCGACAGCCTTTTGACAACTTTGAACCTAAGAAAATGGGCGATCCATAGAAAGAATAACTGCCATCATCTGGAGAGAAAGATTTCATAAAACTCAATATTATGATATTTAAAAAGCTAACTTTAGTAAAACCATTTCATGTGCAAAAAAATAGAACAGAAGTCAATTTCACATAATTCAACAAAACAGAACGATCAGCAACATGTTTAGAGGAGAAAATTTAGTGCATACTTAATATTCGATTAGGGTTACAATAAGATACTCTTAAGAGAAGACCCATCCATTACTTGAGAGGGATAAACCTTGAGGAGTGAGTAGCACCAATACCAGGTCTACCATGCTTCACAGGCTTGTATGAGATAGAAAACTCGGCCAAGTAGTGCCCAATCATCTCCGGCTTCACCTCAATCTGGTTGAATGTTTTTCCATTGTAAACACCAATCACACTCCCAATCATCTCAGGAACAATTATCATGTTCCTTAAGTGGGTCTTGACTGGCTCTGGCTTCTCACCAGTTGGAGCCTCAAGTTTCTGCAGCAAAGGGGATAAAATGAATTTTTGTTGGTGAGGTTCAAACAAGTAGAATGGTATGAGTGCGCACAACAACAGATTAGTTTGTGGGGGTTGAATGAAATTCAGAAACAGATACAATTAAATCAGGCAGTTTTAATATATAAACAAGTCTACTTATTAGGATGGATCAGGTTGGGCCAGTTTGATCATGATATATTTTGTGTATACACTGTATATACAAGTTCCATCATATTCAATAGAGCCAAAGGCTCACTGGTTTTTGGCTTAAGAATATGATGGAATAAAGAAAAACTAGTTCACTAACACTATGAAGCAACGGTCATTCAATGCAACTTTTGAGCACAAATTTCATCTCGGGTTATGTTGTTTTTTGTACACTGGGTACATACAAAAAGGCATATATTTACATGCACTGTATATTTTACATTAATACTGTATATTTTACATTAACACTGTATATTTTACATATACACTGTACTATATGTATAATACACATAACAAAAAGACAATGTACTCAGGTAATCCAATAAAGATTACTCCCTCCGTATCACAAGAAGTGTCTCACTTTCCTTTTTTGACGGTATCAAAATAAGTGTCTCACTTCCCTTTTAGAAAACAATTTTACCCCAAAAGTAGCTACGGTACACTTTAATATAGTAATGTGTACTGCTACAGTACCAAAAATCTCTTACTTTTTCAAAAATTGTACAGTAAACCTATAAACTATCTTAAAATACGTGAAAAGTCTACTGGGACTCTTATTGTGATACGGAGGGAGTATATTTTAAATAGTCAATTGGTTGAGCAATCATCCATTAAATATTCAAATAAAGTAGGTTACTGGTTAGTCTGGGTTTTCTGCATAACCACAGAATTATTTAATCAGACTGCAATTTGAAGTCTAATTTATTTTGATAGCATATGGACTGTGTGGTAGAAGCCAAACAGATATGAAATGGCTAATCCATACAGCAAAACATTTAGAGTTGAGTTAGATAACATATACTCCCTCCGTCCCATATTTATCTTCACAAGTACACAATTGGCACACAGTTTAAAATAGTGGGTTTTGTGTGGTGGAGAGTTGTGAAGAGGTGAAAGAAATGTATAAGAATGTGTAAGAAATGATGTTAACCACAAATTCTTTGCTAAAATGGGAGAGAAGATTATTTTGGAATGGAATCTAACTGCTTTACACTTGATGAGAATTGGTTGGGCGAATCAAATCTCTTCAGGGTTTAGTTATAGATGAAAATCAATTATTTAGTTTCATAATAAGAATGTAGGCTTTCTGTAGATATGGATTCAACACCAAAAATAACCATATAACCTCATATAACTGAGTTTTAGACAAGTCTTTTTGTAGGCTAAAACCTCCATACGAGTAAGTTAGGTATGCTTCACCTTGCTTAACCTCTACCTGAACAGCCTTCAACTAGATTCATACTCTTGTAAAATTTATCCTCATAGTAATTTAAATACTCGTAGCATTTCTATATGCACATCTATCAATCAAGATGAAACCTATTTTCAATAAAACCCCAAGTTTTACTGAATTCAGCAGATTTTTTAGGTTAACTCTATCCAGAACGCAGTAAAAATCAGGCAAGTGAAGCAACACCTGGACAAGTTTCTCCATTTTCACGATCAATCAACGTATAATACACACGAGTAAAAATAAGGATAGAAACTAATCTGAGAGCAAAAATCATATTCATACCGCCTTCCGGAGCTTCTTAATCAAAGCGAGTGGCTTCCTCGTCAAGCCTCTCTTAAACCTATCCAATAAAACAAAATATTAACGACATTCAGCGTATAACCCCAGACTCCCATTAAATAAGCGAGAAGTGTAAGAAGAACAATGTGGGAAAACCTTCGACGTTGACGGGCCGGGAAGAGATTGACGAGAACATCAGTGGGCATGTCGAGGAGAGAATCGAGATCAACGCCTCTGTAACTGAACTTCTTGAACGTTCTTTTCTTTGGCAGTCCCGTCGCAACATCGTTGTCAGCGTCCGCCTATGCACAAAAATACCATACGAGTAATCGACTCAATCAGTTTACAAAGAAATGATGATTCAAAAACAATATGTACGCAAGGAGACAAAAGAGAGAGAAAGAGCAACCATTTTTGTTGAAATGAAAGCTTAAACCGTGGCGGTACTATGCACTGGATATGCTCCTTAGAATGGCGTCGATATCATCTTCGCGGCGTTGAGGATTCGGTATATATCTGCTAGGGCTTGGCTATTGGGTTCCAATATCGAGCCAGCTTGTTAGTCCGCCTTACATATGGGCTTGGAATATTAATGAAATTTGTAAGGTGGCAAATAACATCTTGTATTATGTACGAAGTATATGTTTTTTTTTTATAAATTAAAATGCTATTCAAGAATTGATCTAAGTTTAAAGAAAATTTAATATATGTATGGTATGATTAGAAAACAACATGTATAAGTTGTTGTACAAAATACAAATAAAAAAGTAAAAATATCACTATCACATAAAAATTAAATAGGAATTTTATCAATTCGAGACCTGAAAGATAGACGAACTATAAATTCGGGACCTGAAAGATGAAATGTATCAGTATAGGACCCGAATGATGAAAAACTATCAATCTAGGATCCGAATGATTGAAAACTATCAATTTAGGACCTAAGTTTTCATAAATAATATTTACTTTTATTAAACTAATAAACTTTTATTAAACTAATAAACTAATAAACTTTTATGAAATTTTATTATTATTTTTATTTTAAAAAATTTAAATAATATTTACTTTTATTAAACTAATAAACTTTTGTGAAGAAAATTTTATCAAATATTAGCAATGGAATTAATAAAAAATTAAATAAATCAAAACCTATGAAATGTTAGGTCCTAGATTGATAGTTTTTCATCTTTCGAGCCCTATACCAATATATATTTCATCTTTCAGGTCTTGGATTGATAATTTGTCTATCTTTCAGGTCCCAGACCGATAAAATTCCAATTAAATATTATGATGATCGTTAATAACTTTATTTAGAGTATATCAATTATTCATGTCATTAGCTATCAACTAAAGTTTTAGACTGTTGTTTATCAAGTAACAAACTAAAAATCTCTATCGATAATGGTGGTCGTCTCTAGGGTTCACCTAGCTCTGTATTCCGGCGGTGATTTCTCCGATCACGGTGTTCCACGTTCTTTTTATCCGAATATGAGTTTGGTAAGTTGGAACTGCGGAGGGTTAGGAAACACGGCTATGGCGCAAGGGGTTGCGGATATCGTTCAATCCCATCGGCCGGCAATTATCTTTCTTATGGAAATGAAAATTCGTTGTCAACGGGCAAAAGACCTGTTGCGGGCACATGGTTTTCACTAGTACGTAGGTTTGGATAGTGAAGATAACAGCAGCGAGCTGGCATTGGGATGGAATGATGATGTGGAGGTTTCTATTACAGTTGTAAACTAAAACTATGTCGACTGTTTGGTGCGGACAACGAATGGAGATCCTGCACGGAGACTAACCTATTATTATGCCTACCCAGAAACGCGATGACGCCATGAAGCTTGGGAGATGTTGAGGGGATTGGCAAAGAACATTAACCTCCCATGGATGGTGACAGGGGACTTCAATGATATTCTCTATGAATTGGAAAAGAGAGGTAGAAAATCCCACGCCCCGGGTGGAGAATGCAGGGATTTAGAGAAGCAGTCATCAGGAGTGCCTACACGACTTCCCGTTCCAAGGGTATCAGTGGATGTGGGATCGCAGTAAGGGAACTACAAATTGGGTAGAAGAAAAATTAGATCGTATTCTTGTCAATTATGATTGGTGGAACAATTTTATGGAGGCAATGGTGACAGTACTAGATGAAGTGCCTCCGGGTGTTGGTGATGAATGGGTGCGTGCCTTTGACAAGGTAGACACGTTCGAGTGTAGATGACAACATCTTGTCTCATAGTTGGCCAATAATAGCCAAATCTCAGTGCCTTGTTGGACAACCTCCTGCCAGCAGCATGATTGCCGCATTCCCCTTCATGGAGACTTTTGAGAACATTGTTGGCCTCGTGTGATGTTAAGCACCTTTGGTATGGACCTGCCATTGAGCGCTTAAACAGAACGCTGTCAATTAGTAAAAATTTTATTACCTTAGATAGGAGTGTCCTTGCTTCCCGTTTGTCGGCTAGCAGAATGTTGTACTTCAGGTAGTCAACATACGGTTTCATCCAGTTATTGTCTGCATCTGTTTCAACGGTGTTCACAGATCCGGTTTTGTCGATGGTCGGGCTCACCAGGTGAATAAATGGTATCTTGTCATCGCATTCGGCTCCTAGACATGATCCCGCTGCTGCTAGAGCATCTGCCTGTGTGTTCTCCTCTCTCGGGACTTGTTGAAAAGTGATCTCGTCAAAAAAGGCTTTCAATTCCATGACGACTTGTGTACTCCTACAACTACCTAAATAACTAATATTTAATTATACTAATCCAAAATTAACGTACTCCATAGTGTATATATATATAATATGGAGTACGTTAATTTTGGATTAGTATAATTAAATATTAGTTATTTAGGTAGTTGTAGGATTATATGATATACCTCTAAGTAGTTTTTCCACACTTCATCACTAGCCGTAAATTTTTGTGTAATTGGGTCCCACCCAAACTCCGAACGGAACTTCATCAGATCAGCATATTTTTGATATCTTTGCTTGAAGTACTTCCACCGACTTTGATACTCCGGAGTAACATATTCTGCATTATACTCTGGTTCTGAATTATTGGGACTAACATATTTTGCATCCAAGAGACACGCTCGGGAGTACTCCCGAGACAAGTCGTCACAGGTCTGTCGAATAGCCAAGCGCGAAGAGGATTAGAAGAATGTATCTATTACCTTCGACGAGTCCGATAAAATGGACCCGGCCGGCGTCCATCACGATGCCCTGGTTATTTCACTCCGAGTGTCAAACTGTGAAGTACGTCGAGTCCTTGTCGACAATGGGAGTACCGCAAACATCACCACGATGAAGATGTTGGAACAGATAGGCTACAAAGAGGAGGACGTGACGAGTTCTGGATCAACCTTGATCGGCTTCAATGGAGAGCCAAGCCGCACTTTAGGAAATGTGTCCTTACCCGTATATACAAATGATCTCAATTTGCAGGTCAAGTTTGACATGGTCCAAGAGTTATCCGCCTATAACATGATACTGGGAACACCCTGGCTTCATCAAATGGGGGCAATTCCGTCCACCTATCATCAAGTCGTTAAATTTCTAACACCATGGGGAGTACAGTCGATTCAAGGAGACAGAACAGCTGCAAAGTCATGTTACCAAACGGCAATTAAGTCCACTGCAACACCAGCCACCTCAGCATAGCAATTAAAGGGCGATGCCATTCTAGATGAAGAGGATGATGACAGAACAGAGGATGTCATCATCGATCCTGATCATCCGGAACGGGTCGTCCGCATTGGGAGAAGTGTGCCAGAACACCTTAAAGGTGAACTCATCAACTTCCTGAAGGAGCATAAAGATGTTTTTGCATGGAGCCACGACGACATGACGGGAGTTGATCCAAAAATCATCACTCACAGGCTAAACGTCAACAAATCACACAAACCCATCAAACGGAGAAGGAGACGATTCTCCAGAGATAGGAACGAGATCGTTAATCAGGAGATTGAGATACTGCTGCGCACCGGAAAAGCCCGGGAAGTCAAATATCCAGATTGGCTGGCAAATGTCGTCGTTGTGCAGAAAAGGAAAGGGGAAAAGAAGGGTAAGAAAGCAAAGTGTCGAGTATGCGTCGACTTCACTGATCTTAACAAAGCATGCGCGAAAGATTCTTTCCCAATGCCGCACATAGATGCATCAGCAGACGCGACAGCGGTACATGAGATGTTGTCATTCATGGATGCATTCAGCGGCTACCATCAGATTCAATTACATCCTGACGATCAAGAGAAGACGGCTTTCATCACGGAAACAGGTACATATTGTTATATCGTTATGCCTTTTGGTTTAAAAAATGCAGGTGCAACCTTCCAGAGGCTCGTAACGATGATGTTCAAAGACCAACTGGGAAAAACCATGGAAGTCTACATCGACGACATGCTAGTCAAGTCGAAGAAGACAGAAGATCATGTCAACCACCTGCGCGAGTCGTTCAAAAAACTAAGAGAATACAATCTGAAGCTCAACCCGGCCAAGTGCACCTTTGGGGTGACCTCAGGAGAATTTTTGGGTTATATTGTCAGCGAGCGTGGTATTGAAGCAAGCCTACAACAAGTTCAAGCCATCCTCGACATTGAGTCACCCAAATCCATCAAAGATGTTCATAGACTGACTGGTCGAGTTGCTACCCTTAACCGCTTTATATCAAAGTCGTCAGATAAATGTCGCATGTTTTATGACGTCCTCAGAAAGAATAAGAAGTTTGAGTGGACAGACCAGCATGAGCAAGCACTCCAACAGTTGTACCTGGCCGTATCAGAGCATGCCGTCAGTGCAGTCCTGACCAGAGAAGAAGAAGGACATCAAATTCTGTCTACTACATCAGTAAGTCACTAAATGGACCGGAGTCTAGGTACACACTTTTAGAAAAATTAGTGTTAGCTTTAGTTACCGCTTCCGTTAAATTACGCCCTTATTTCGAATCACATAGTATCTGTGTCCGCACTAACTATCCCATGAAATCAATCATGAGGAAACCCGAATTAAAAGGTCGGATGGCGAAGTGGTCAATACAGCTGGGGGCGTACGACTATGAATATTTACAAATAGTAGTTGGGAATGTAACAGCTACAGGAAAAAATTCAGTTGGCTCAGGTGAGGAGTCTGATGCTAGGACATATGATGTTGAAGAGAACACTCAAGCTTCAATAGAAGACTATGTGTATGATGAGTCTCAAGGTGCGTACGTCCCAACAAGATCCAATACACGATTTAACGGTGCCTCCTACATGTTCCAATAGGAGTGCAACTCCCTCAAGAAGTAGTGGTTCTAAAAAGCGAACCAGAGATCAATGTGAAGGGAGCTATAAGCCAAAAAGTAGTGAGTCTCGTTCTGAATTTAAGACGAAGGTTGCTAGTGGAATGGATTCTATTGCTGAGATTGCTAGTGACATTCGAGGAATGAGGATATTGATGGAAAAGAGGGAGAAAGATAGGGAGAAATATGAGATT